TTTTGGGAAGATCGACTTCATGGTTTGTTTATAGTAAATTTGCAAAGAAATAGCTATATATCAGCGTTTTAAACCAGATTCCCCCTTAAATCATTTAATGATTTGTCGTATTTTTCAGCATGTAAAAATGATAAAAGGAACTAAGTATATATAAATATACAATATCATTTTTGTGTAATTATCAAGCATTTCTGCATTTATGAGACTATTTGTTATAAATAAATTGTTTTCAGTTTTCGCATTTTTTCCGTAGAATAATCAAATAACATGGACGTGTAAATAGTTGCAAAAAAAGAAGGGAAGAAAAATATTAATCCAATATTAATATAATACAAGGTACAATTTGATCCCTCATCTATCCAAATATTAGAATCCGTTTTTTTCACCTATTCAGAGACGTGTTTTGATTCCCACCTTATTTACGTTCAATAAACAACAAGGATGACATAACATCCGGGGAGCACTCAGGTGAGAATACAAACATGTCCAGAATGGTTTAAAAAATCTCTAAAAATTCTTTCAACTTTCTAGAATAAATATTGAAACTTCATTTTGGAAAATAATAAAATGTAGTATAATTTATCATTATCGAAAGAAACTACACGAACAAGAATCACTCGGTCACCAGTGACCCAACCTTGTACGATAAGGATTAATTTAAATATACTTACTGGAGAACGGAATATCACGCGGCATATAAATTAGAGCAATATCATTCAAGCCCGAACTGTAATGTGGATGTACAAATGCTTGAGTCGCAATCATGGACCCACCGGGACCTTGATAAGTACCGTATCTTATTCCATAAGGGATATTAACGATACCAAAAACTACCAAAAATCTTCGTGGGTATTTTTCCGCACAATGAGCGGCTGTGAGAATCCATCTTTTTGATAAGATTGTGCCTCCGCATTGTCCGACATTTCCGTTACCTAGGATTTGATGTACCACTACCATGTACGGAAAATCTCCGAGTCTTGCATATTGTCCGCCCGCTATTTTAGTTATTTGATCTCCTATCATTTAGAAAAAATTATTTAAATATTGTGTTCTGAATACACTATATATACTACTAAATACTTACCATAATTACTTAGGCCTCTTACGAAATTATAATTAGGTGTATGTGTGTATGCATGGGATTTACTTTGAATATATTGACATATTGTTAATGAAATTAGAAAATGCAAAAATATTTTCACGTTTTTCAAATTCATGATAGATTATTCCGTAAATTTGAGAATGTTATTCCGACAAAACTTTAAAATGTAAGATTCTCAAGAAATATTATTCCAAAAAAAGAAATTTATTTATAATTTGTGTATACAATAATTTGTATAACTTATATGAACTTATATTAGTTTCGGACTTATAACTGATTTTGTGTAACTACTTGTAACAAACTCAAGGAACTGTCACTGCAGTCTAAGAATTTTCCTTTTATAAGACTCGATAAGATGTTTCTACTTTACTGAAAAATTTGAATACTCCTAACATGCTAGGATATCCGTAGGGCATACTTACGCATCTAAATTTTTCGTTTTTACTGTCCGACTAAGACTGGGTTGTTCCATCTTTCGGTAAACTTCAGTTCACTGTCTTACTCTCTTATTCTTTTATGCTGTTACTCTTTTACTCTTTTGTTTATCCAATAGATAAATTCTCCAATAGAAAAAAAAAACATAGTTTATCTGAAAATGGAACATCGGCTCTGAGAATGATAAACCGAGAGTGTATTTAATGTGTATCACAGAATATCTTAAATTCGTTCAAAGTGAATTCTAGGGCGTTATCAGATAGGAATTCTTTGGATTTGCTGAAATACCTAAGCCATGAGTATTCCAAAGTTCTCTAGCTACATGAGTACTCAAAATTTTCGTCGAAACCATTCCATTTTCATCTGAAACATTTTTTTTAATTAATAATAGTTTCGGAGAAAATTAATTGTGTTACACATATAAAGTAGACCATTTTAATTATATATATATATAT